TTCTATTTGTTTATATTGATAGAACATCCACAGTCATTAAACTAGTATTAGGTTCTATTTGTTTATATTGATAGAACATCCACAGTCATTAAACTGGTATTAGGTTCTATTTGTTTCAGTAATTTTTCAAGAAAGTTTTTATTGCCTCTGATATAACTCTCTACTTCCAGTATAAATAGCATTAAAGTTATATCCCAAATATCACTTAGTAGTTCCATACTTTTCTATGTTCCACCAACTATTTGTCGCCCGTACATTTATTGAGGATCTTCGATTCATAGGTATTCTACTGGTTTCCTTTTCATAATTGTTTTCGCATGTACCCCAGGGTTACATGTTAAGATTAAAGAGTGAAATACTTTGATTGTCTAACGTACATCTAGTGCTGTAAGAAGAACCGTTGTGCATACTAACCAACCAAAAACCAGAATAAAAACAAATGATAACTCAAACCTAGTAGTGCTTTGAATATTTATATATTAAATACGCTAGAGAAGTTTACACTCATATATATATATATATATATATATGATGTTGCCAAAGCAAAAGGCTAACAATGAAGTTTCCTCTAAAGAAAACTCGTGTTTTCAAGAGATTATAAATCAATCTACGATATTCACAAATATTGCTAACTTGGATCGGAAACGAACAATGTTTCACCAACACATAACATAATTTCACACCTGAGAGATTACCATATTGTTACACATTTATTTATAACACCGGGAACGAATATTGTTATCTATAAAGCTCCTAATACATGATTATAACCCTGGTGGTTAAATATGATGCAGCTCACTCAAATACGAAATTAACGTGTTATTATTTTTTTAAGCTGTGTTTTCATATGTTACTACATGTAAGTTACGGCTAAACCTTTATAGAAGAAACTTTCTTTAAATGAAACCTATAGGTAGCATTTAGCCAAATGGATGTTTATCAAACTACCAAAGGTAATGTGCCAAATAACCAAAGATGTAAATCAGAAACGCTGAAGGAAAAAGAAAAGATGACACTCGGTCTATTCTATTCGCTACAACTATTCTATCATCTATGTTTGGTATCTCTTTAAGTTCAGGTTGCTTGGTTGTTTCAAATGCCAACTGGTTCCTACCAGAGGGGCTCTGTAATAAACAGAAAAAAATACATTTATTGTTCACCCACAGACTAGTTAAAATATTATTTTCATTATTGTTTTAAGTCAACTTTCTTTAAGTGAAGCCATTGAAGCGCTCTGGTACGTGTATTCTACTCTCCTTTAAACTAATTCTTCAATAATCTGATTAATGTGAAGGAATAAAATAATAAATAACACACAGCATTAGAATAGATACATAATAAAAATCATTTTCAATTCAGGCCAATCTATGGCCTCTAAAAAGTTGACTCTAATTGATTCGACGTTTCAACGTTATCATCAGGAGTCATAGTTATACCTTTTTAACTTGGTTATGTTAAGATATAAGGTAAAAATGTTGTAGGAAACATTTAGATTTTCAATTATTTTTCTCCACTTTCTTGTTTGATACATCAACGGTTGATTTAATTCAAAGTATATTTGCCTTGTATGTCAAACACACTTTTTTAAAACGTGAACAATATTTCTGTGGATGATATAATATCATATCTTATCTAGATTTTGATTTACGTATTTATTACTTGAAATATTAACAATATTTCTGTGGATAATATCATATTGTTACGTCTCTGTTCGTTTGTTAATTTCCAGTATAAATTATTTCCGAGAAACTTCAGCGATACACGTCCTTTTTTAAATAAAACTAGTTTATTCTTTCTTGATACAACTTTGTAATACACAGAATTTCCA